CTTGTTTGATTTCATTAACTGGTGTGTGCCATGGGGGCATGTGTGGTTGAATGTATGTGTGTGTCACTTTCAGGGAGTATCCAGCATGAGGGCCTCTTGGTAGCTATGGTAAAATAATAAAGCTGCAACATTTATATCCGTATTTATAGTACATTCTATGTGCCAGGCAGTGTGTTCAATACTGTTCAAGGTTTATCTCCTTTAATCCTTATGACAAGCATGTGAGGCAGACTAGTGTCAGTTCTGCTTCACAGGTGAGGGAACTGAGGTTTGTGAAAGTGAAATGATTTGCCCAAAATCCCACCTCTAGAAGGGAGAGAGCTGGTTTTCAGCCTCTGCAATCTGACTTCAGAACTATGCTTTTGATCTCCACCTACTGAGATTGATGGGGCAGCCATCAAACAAAGATGGAGGACCACAGCAACCTCTGATTTCACGTTGTTGGCTGCAAATGGGTTGCGTGTTCCTCAAAGGTAGAGGTCAAAGGGTCTGGGCTCTGACTTACTGGTTAATTTCTTGCAGAAGTGACTGCTTGGTGTTTCTCAAACATCCTCTAACCTAGAACCACAGAAACTTGACCGAGGTTCCTTGAGATAGGAAGGGGTTAGTGTTTATGTAGGAGCCTATGAAGAACTGTAACTCTGGTGGGAAGAGTGTCCTCTCCTACTTCTGGGAAAGCACTGGGAGGAGCCATTCCTTCATCAAAGATTTTAAGCACCTCTTTTTTGAGGGTGAGAAAGGCAGCAATAGACCCTGCCTTCATAGAGTAGAAAAGATGACAATTCCATAAGGTGCCGAGAGAGATGCTAGTGGATGTGCTGGGTGTGATGGGAGCGTGGAGTCCTAGAAGACGCTGTCTCCCACGTCAGGGTCAGGAGCCTCAAGAGGCACAGAGGCAAACCCCAGGGTCAGCCCAACAGTGAGGAGAGGTAGATGAAGACCACGCGGAAGCCTCATCTGTAGCTGTCCCAGGACGTTTTTAATGAGCGTCAAAGGAGTCGTGTGAGCTCTCTGGGACACTGCCCAAGCAAAAGACAGTGGGAGGCATTTCAGGGTTCTGGTGTTTCTGCTGGTAACCATACAGAGCCAAAACATTTCTCATTCTCATTGTTAATGTCAACCACACTGCTAACCGGCTTTGACCTACTGAAGCTTGATTACATCCAGCCATTGTTAAGAAGTTTCTTTTTTTCCCAAACATAATTTTTTTTCGTATATTGGATCTGCCATCCTCCCAGGGAGCGTAATTCATTTTCCAAAGTTGATTGTTCTAAGGAATAAATTCTCATTGGTTTTGAAAGACTACCATGAAGTGACTTGGCAAAACCCGGGAACAATCGCAATAATTAAAGAGAACAGTTCAGGGCTTCTCCAGCTTTTCATCAAGAGCCCCAACGACAGAGGAGAGTAAAACCCTACCCCCAGGAAGTCTGGAACATTGTTACAAGCTCTCATAAAGTTCTTTGAAGATTTTTGTTTTATTTTAAAACCTTATATGAACACTAATGAATTTTGTGTTAATTCTGTAACATATCAGAGATTATTTTAATATGAAAACAGTCTGTTGCCTCCAAATCTTTGGGTAGTTGATGCTCCAGGAAAGTGAGCAGGCTGCATGTCCCAGAGGGAGAAAACCCTTTTCTTTTTCATTGCACATTGCCTTTTTTAAAAAAACAAAAACAAAAAAACAAAAAAACCACCAGTGAGCATACAAAATTTATAGTAAAATTTGAAAATATTCCAAAACTCTTAACAATGGTTTCCTCCTCCCTTGGGATAGTGATCCCAAACCCCAGATCTCTTTAGACCTCTATTTTTGTTTTTAATCTATAAAATGGGACAGGAACATTTGCCACATAGGGATGCTGTAAAGATTAAATTGAATTAATGTATGTAAGGTATTAGGCAATAATGGATATTCTATAAAAATTTGTTTCTTTCCCATAGGTGCATTTCAGTGCAATTTAGACAAACTACAAAGAAAACAAATCAGGCTTCTTCATGGAATTATCTGAAAGTCAAAAATACTTAAAGTTTAAAATAGATGATTGAGGAACTTTAATGTCTATTTTCAACTCCCCTGCCGACTTTAGAAATTCATTTGTTCTTTCTATGCTGTGGTCTTACTATCCAAATGTTGCAATAGTGATGCTGACTTCAGATGGAAATAGATGAGATGAAAGAAAGACACTTTAAACAGACATCAGTGACTGCTCTGTGTACCATCCTTGACTATGGCTTTCTAAGTGAATTTCAGGAGTTTTATGAGCACTTTTCTGATAGAATAAGAATTACTCTTCTAGGAACAGATGAGAAATATGAGGGAAAAGGGATGAGCAGACCCACCAAGGTGACATGGTAACCAGTGAGCTGGCCAACATGAGAATGTTCATGTCCCTGGCTTTCACACATTACAGAGGCCAGCGCATCTATAAAGTTACTATGCTAGTCCAATGTTCGGCTGACAATTTGGAACACTGATCAAAGACTCCCTAAGTGCCTTTTTAAAAATTATTGTACAAGAGACTGAAGAAAGGAAAGGGAAAAAACATCACTGGAACTCAAATCTATAACTTACGTTTTTAAAGTCACAATATGGAATTCTGTACCATCAAATGAAACAAATGGCAAATCATTGGTCATGTGCTATTAAAATAGATAAATATATATTCTATTTTTAAGAGAGCACAATGGGAACTAAAATGAGCTATGTGATATGAATTCATCAGGAATATGGATGAGATAAACCTTCAAATTAAATTTTTTTGTGTAGTAAATTATGATGTGTCATCACTTTGTTAGAAACAACAAAAGAATTTTAAAATATTTAGGTATAAGTCACTAAGAATTATTTTTATAGCCATATTCCTTTAAAAGTAAATTTGCTAACTTTAACTGTTTTAAATGAAGGAATGTTGCAAAAGATTTGTTAGACAGAATTGAAGAAAATAAAACCCTATTACAATGCAAAATTCTCCTCCTTGCCTTGGTAAAGAGAGCAAGATATTGCATAAATTACTATGATACTCTGAAGAGTTATTACATTTCTTTGATAAATATGATAGATGGAAATGGTATAGATATAAAGGGTGGCATTTTATTGTGCACGTAGGATCCTCATTAGTTATGCATTAGATGTGTTTATATCATACAACTATCGTTGGCATTTTCCTTAATCTATTTTATTCATTTACTGCCTTCATAATAACCATGGCGCCTTGCAAGTAGAGACTCACAAATTTAATATTTTCCTATTAGATTGCATTTTCGTATTTACAGGGCTCTTTGGAAAAAGGAAGAGCAGAAGAAAACTTTGATGCCAGATTGTCACATGAAATTGAATCTATGTCCTTAAAAATGAAATGGCGCACTCAGCACATGGCTGTGCTTTTGCAGAATTAGATCTAGCATTGTTTCTGGGTTTTCATGTTGCTAAGAACTATTTCTCGCTGCCTGGAAAATTCCTTTCTGAAATTATCTGTGCAATATTTCATTTAAATTGCAAGATAGGATAATGTCCTGTATTTCACTAACACTTTTAGAACTACTATGTAAATAGAGACATCCGCCTAAAGACAGAACACTAGCTTATGTGTAATAAGAGAGACACAAACAGAAAAGCACTATATTTCTGTATAGCCGTCTATGGCTGATGCTGATTATCGAGTATAATCTTTTGCCTTGATTTGAGTTGTTAGCACATGACAATCTGTTTCCTGGAATTGGCTTCTTGTTGTGAATATCAAGGCACATGAATTTCAAATAAACGTGGAGGAATCAGAACCATGTTAATTTCCTAAGAGTTATAATCAGATTTTCTTATATACGTGTATGTTTATATCATGTTTGTTAATATTAGCAGAAAATACTATTAGTAATAAGAGTAATGACATAAATGTGTTGAGTGTCTTCTCCATGCCAGGCATCACACTCAGTACTTTACCTGAATTACCTCCTTTAATCCTCACAAAACTGCATGAAGTAAAAACTCTTATCCCCATTTCACAGATGAGGAAACAGAGGTTTCACAACTTTCAATAACTTGCCCTAGGTTGTATGGTCAGTTGGTGTTAAAACAAGGATTTGACATGACACATTTTGCTTCTTTTTTTTTTCCTTTTTCTCCCAAAGCCCCCCGGTACATAGTTGTGTGTTTTTAGTTCTGGGTCCTTCTAGTCGTGGCATGTGGGATGCCACCTCTGCATGGCTTGATGAGTGGGCCGCCAAAGCTGAGCACACGAACTTAACCACTCGGCCACAGGGCTGGCCCCCACATGTTGCTTTTAAACTACTATTATATCTGAAAAAGAATTTATGGTAGCTTTGAAAGATACATACTACATATCAAAAGAACACGAATTAGGAGCACATAAGAAAAAGAATAGAGATTAGGAATGTAAATGGGACCAGGAGTCAGACCAGTACATGGAATGTGCAATACTTGCTTAGGTTGAATCACAGACGTACTCAAAGCTTTCTAGCAGTCTTCTGCAAAGACCCAACACAATATGGTGCCTATATTATAAAATTGAACTATTTGGTCAAGAGAAGCACAACTATTCTTTATATTAAGACTATAAAGACAGTCTCCAAAGATCCTCATAACCAGAACACCATGCAATGTAATGAAGCCCATTTTCAACAATATCCTTACAGTAAATGTGAGGATGAATTTCCCAGAGCGATTTCTCACTGATCTGCCACCACAGGCAAATAGCACAGGTCAGTGAAAGCAGCTCTCCAGGAGGCCAGCTCAGCATGGTCCAGATATACAAGGGCCATAAGCAAGACTGAAGGCATTAATGAAACCAAGCAATTTGCTTTTGAAAGAGGAAGCTAAACCAAGACATAAATAATAAATGGCTTTCCCTCACTAATAACTGACTTCTGTCTGTAGTGATGACATAAGTACACCATTTTTCAAGAAGTAATGAAACATCAACTTTTATCTCAAGACTTTATATCTTAAGCCAGAGGAAATTCAAATATCATGTAGTTACCTTTACAGGTATCAGTGACTTAGAAACACCTGATTTTCACATCTGCTATCGCATATTCCCCTCTTGCCTTTTTCCATCTCTTCCGTGCTGCCATGACAAGGAACATTGTGGTAAAGTATGTGGAGCTTCTAGAAAACCTGGAGGTACAGAAGTAGACGCAAAAAAGGAAGTTATAAAAATCAGTACCTGCTCAAGAAACCATATCATAAGGCCGGAATTCAAGACAAAGCTGGCCTTTTTTACAACCTTTGCCCCCGAATTATCCTGCCCCACACTATCGGAATTGTTTCATTTCACTTTGTTCGACTGCATGAACCACCTAGAAGAATTGTTTTCAGGCTAGCAAGCATCCTCTTTTTAAAACTGCGGCTTCTTCTGGCAGTCAATGATCTTTGAGTCATTCACACCTGAGTATGAAGTAGTTTAATTAACTACTGTTCTATTACTTAGCTGAGGAAATTTTCCTGGGAAAATACAAAGACACAAGGTAAAAGAGGCATTCCCAAGGGGAAGAGGGCAGGTGCCAAATTATTTCAGAATTTTTCCCAAGGCAGACTTTTCTTTTACTGGAGGAAAAGAGAGAAAATAATTTCCTCTATCATCCTTTTCTTTCTCTTCTAAGCAGCAAACCTTAAAAATGAACTGAGAAAGGGGCTGGCCCCGTGGCCGAGTGGTTAAGTTTGCGCACTCCGCTGCAGGCGGCCCAGTGTTTCGTTGGTTCGAATCCTGGGCGCGGACATGGCACTGCTCATCAGACCACGCTGAGGCAGCGTCTCACATGCCACAACTAGAAGGACCCACAACGAAGAATATACAACTATGTACCGGGGGGCTTTGGGGAGAAAAAGGAAAAAATAAAAAAAATCTTTAAAAAAAAAAAAAAAAAATGAACTGAGAAAGGCCAGCATGAGGAATACTAACTGTTACAGAACTTTTCTATATCTCGACTGTGGTGGTGGTTACATAAATAGATATATGTGATAAAATAGCATAAAATTAACACACACAAAAACACACACACTAGTGCAGGTAAAACTGATGAAATCTGAATACGGTGGGTAGGTTGTACCAATGTCATTTCCCTAGTTGTGACATTGTACCTAGTTGTGACAAGAAGTTACCACTGGGGAAAGCTGGGTGACAGATATGTGAGATCTCTCTGCATATTTCCTACAATTGCATGTGAATCTACAATTATCTTAGAGGAAAAGTTTTTAAGACAAAAAAAAGAGTTTATATCTTAGAAATGGATCTTTTCAAATTCTCGCTGTGGTGTTGACCAAACTCACCCTTTGATGTCACATTTACTTGCCTTTGTTTATCTATTTGGGCTCACTTCTCAAATATGCTTTTTGAATTTTTTCTCTACCTGAAAAAAAATCTTACTCATTCTTTATGATCCAGCTTCCCAGACTCCTCCACAGTTTTTCTCTACCTTTGCTCACCTAACAGAACTGATGGAGTCTTCTGCTGTATTTCCATAGCACTCTGAATAGAGTAATAGACTAGTACTACTGAGCATTTACCAGGCACTTCACCTTTAACCTTTACAACAGCTCAGTGAGGAAGATGCTATTACCATCCCCATTTTACAGATGAAAGAACTGAGGCACTGAAGGTAAACTTGCCCAGCGTCACACAGAGAGCAAGTGGCAGTCAGCTTTCACAGCCAGGCAGTCTGGGTCCAGAGCCCACAAGGGTAACTGGTGCCCATCCTGCCTCTTTTGTGCACCACTGGCTGTCACTTGGACATGGCGTTTAGTTGTTTGCATTCTTATCTCTCCCTTCTTCCAAAGGAGGAGGCACCCATACTGGCTTTCTCCACTTTTTCACTTCCCATTCACTCCCCCACCAATTGGGCTCCGGCTTCCTTGGTGCCCCCACTCACTACTCCACTGGAACTACATTCAAAATGGCACCAACGACTGAAGGTTCTCAACTCAGGTAGACACTTTTCTGTCTTTACCTGTCTCCTGAGTTGTGTCAGAAACTTCTGACCCTTCTCCCTCTGGAAACCATCTTTTCTCTTGGTTTCCCTGACACCCCTGTTTTCTGTTTCTCTTTCTATATTTTTGGCTGCTCCTTCTGTCTCTTTAGCGTCCTCTTTTTCTAACTTCTCTTAACTTTCCGTCCCTGCCACCTACCCCCAGTTCAATTCCTAGCATTCTTCTCTTTTCCCTCTACATACTTTTCCTAGGGAGCCTCATCACTCCTAAATATTTCTTTCCAGCCCAGATATTTCTCTTGAGCTCACCAACTCTATAACCAGGCATTCCTGCCCCTCTCTGTTTTGCCGTGTAGACCTTTATCATAGCACTTCTCTTTCATCTTTTTTTTCTTAGCACCTGGCATAGAGCTGGTGCTCAATAAATATATTTTTAGTGAGAGAACTTAGGTAAACCAACTTGGAGGATGTTTTGGTAAATCAGTCCAAAACAATGATGCTATAAACTGTAAAACTCCCCTTGAGAAGAATCTGGATTTAAAGACACAATAGGCGGCCCTGGGGACTGATTAGATGTGGGGTTAAGAGCAAGAGTCAACGTTAGTCCTAAGTGTCTAGCATGGGCCACTGAGTACAACATGTGCAAAGAGAGAAAGCTGGCTCTCTTCTTTGATCAACTTACCAGATAATCTTCAATATTCCATTTTATTTCTTTTCGTGCTTTATAAGATAGAACCAAGGGAGGAAGATCTTTTCCCTAAGCCATTAGTTAACTGCACCAATTGCACCAGGCTATGAGCGCCACGAGAACAGAGACTCTGTCTGTTTTGTCCTCAGTGCCTTGCCCAGTGACTGGTAAATTGCAGGCATGCAACAGATATGGATTATCTTCTATTGAGCACCTTCCATGCACCAGGCACTGCACTTGCTTTGCATATATTTTCTCCCTTAATATGGACTACGATTCTGACACCAAATTCCAATTGTGTGGGGTTCGTTCCCCTACACCAAGCATTTCTTAGAGGCCACCTGGATATCCTACAATTCAACTCAATTCTGACACTATCTACCTGGAGATAGCACCAGATCCCACAGGTTAAGGACTCAGCCCCATGAGACTGCCCTCCAGCCCCGCTTCAGACCCCAATCACAAGCCCAGGTTGTTACCTGTGCTTCTGACCAACCGGCTATAGATTTGAGGCTCCTACGACCCCCTTATTGGGTTTGAGTAATTTGCTAAAGCAGCTCACAGAACTCAGAGAATCATTTCACTTACTAGATTACCAGCTAATTATAAAAGGATATAACTCAGGAAAAGGCAGATGGAAGAGATGCATAGGGCAAGGTATAGGGAAAGGGCGCAGAGTTTCCATGTTCCCTGGGTGCACCACTCTCCCTGAATCTCCAAGTTCACAGCCCAGAAGCTCTCCAAACCCTGTCCTTTGGATTTGGATGGAGGCTTCACTACACAGGCGTGATTGATTAAAACATTAGCCGTTGGCGATGGGTCCCTCTTCCAACCCTCTCCCCTCCCCAGAAATGGGAGGGGTGGGACTGCAAGTTCCAATCCTTCTAATCTTCTAATAGTTGGTCCTCCTGGCACCCAGCCCCCATCCTTAGGTGATTCCAAAAGTCACCTCATTAACATAACAAAAGACGCCTTTATCAGTCACCTCACAGGAAATTCCAAGTGTTTTAAGAGCCCTGTGTCAGGAACTGGATGAAGACCAAATATATAATTTGTTATAAACCACATTATCACACTCACAAAAAAAAAAAAAAAAAAGATCCATTTTAGGAGGGAGGATGCTAAGGCTTGGAAAGGTTAAGTGGCTTGTTCAAGTTTCCGTTGTACGAAAAGTAGCTAAGGCAGGAGTTAAACTTCAAAGGGTCTGATACCAAAGGCCCCTTTAACATGAAACTATATGGCTTTCCCATATGTAGTTAAATCTTCCAGGGAGATAAATTTATATGAGTTAAGTCAGATGATAGAATGAGAGCACAAGAATATTCACATTGGAAGATACAGTTTGATGTGTTTTATTGAAAGCTATTATTTCCTTTATGAGTTTCATTTATTTATGCATACGCATAAATGTGACCATTTAAAACTGGAATGCTTTTCTGTCTGAGTTCTTTCAGCACTTCATACAATTCTGGGAATCTTATTCAATATAAAAAAAATGCACAGGTAGAGTGGGTTCTTCATGGTCTGGCGTGTGCGACTCTTGTTATTGTTTCTGTTTGTTTGTTTCTTAAGGGGAAGAGATTGATCATTTTGATCAAAACAGCCACTTCCTTTCTTTTTTTTAAAAAAGATTTTATTTTTCCTTTTTCTCCCAAAGACCCCCAGTACATAGTTGTGTATTTCTAGTGGTGGGTCCTTCTAGTTGTGGCATGTGGGATGCCGCCTCAACATGGCCTGATGAGGGGTGCCATGTCTGTGCCCAGGATTCGAACTGGTGAAACCCTGGGCTGGTGAAACGGAGCATGAGAACTTAACCACTCGGCCACAGGGCCGGCCCACAGCCACTTCCTTTCTTGAGACTCTGGAAAAAGAGGTATTTTCCACATATGTCCTCTGTCGGGAGCCCTGAGAGTAGAGAGAAATTGGAGGGACTTTGTGTAACTGAAGAAGAAGGAAAAATGAAAACAGTCGCTCTGGTAGGAAATTAAGAAATTCTCGGAAGAATACAAAGGAAACAAACCAGAGATAAGGAAAAATATTCAGTTTGCGAGATGAGAAATACAAAACCTTGGCAGGAGAGGGAAAAATTCGAGGGTAGGGACAAACAGGCGAGACTAGCCAGACTTTCTCCAGACAGAAGTGTTGCCTACTGTGGCCTAGAGGGAAGAGATGGGAGCAAACGCTTTCCCTGAGCACACTGTCAGAAGCCGCGCTGCCTTCTTAGCAAAGTTTGAGATGGTGCATTGGCTTGACATTTAAGAGCAAGATGAGAAGGTCTCGGGGGAAGAGGTGTGACCGCAAGACAGACCAAGAGAGGAGAGTCCAAGTGTGCTTGCTTCTCCCTCCGCCAACCAGAGACCCAGTTTCCACTCCTGGTCCAGCCTGGACCAGCCCAGTCCTGATCTCACCCCGACATGGACACACACACACACGTACAGACACACACATCCTAATGAACTGCTGAGGGAAACCCAGCCATTTGAGTCCTCCAGATTATAGCAGAGAAGCTCAGTGGAGAGATTCAGCACTCTCCTATTGGTAATTTGTATTTCTTATATATCCTGGGAGACCAACCAGAAAAATTAAGGCAGCAATGTCTAATAATGAGCACATGAGAGGAAACCTTTTTTTACCTTAATAGAGTGAAATTAGAGAGCCTATTGGGCTGTTTCCTTTTTAAATGATCTCCTCCCCTTTTTAAAAAAAGACACTGTTGTTGAATGTCCCAGAAAGTTTTTTGAAACAAGCAGTTTGTCCCCTTTTTCTAAGCACCAGGCCAAAAATAGGAATTATTTGGCTTTTTCTTGTGAGGCAGTTCTGTGGAAGCCTAGCTGGAGAAAATCCTCCTTGCCCATTAACTAAGGGAGCTGTCACGAAGGAATTCTGGAACTCACGATATGCATTTATACACAGAATGTCTAAATGAGAAACAAAGCTTGACCTGGTTTTCTTCAGAACCAGACCACACTTCTTTTTCTCTGCTCCCTTTCAAGAGGAAGAGAAGAAAACAGCTTCAAATGAACATGGCTACCTTCTCCTACATGCTCTGTCAACTTGAGTTACCCAAAGGAAGATGGACAGCTATGGTATAATCTGATTTTATAGGCATTTGGCCTCTTGGTAGAGTAAAAACACGTTGCTCATCAAAAGGACACATACTAATAATAGCTCACCTTTGCTGAATTCTTCCAACACCCCAAGGCGCACGTGCTAAGCAGTTCACACGCTATCTCATTTCATCTTCACAGCCCTAACAGGAAGTGTTTTGATGAGCCCCATTTCACAGATGGCTAAACTGAGGCTTGGAGAAGTTGCATCATGTGGTTACACACCGACAAAGCCCCATATTAAACCCAGGCAATGGGGCTGGAGCCATCACTCTTGACCACCTGGCTCTAAACTTACATCTCAGTTATGGAGACAGAACGGGAGCCTCCAAACATTTAATAACACCAGTGAGCATATGATTCATGCCGAATAAATGGAATGAACAGCTACTTACACAGAACATAGAAAAAGGATGGTTTCAGTACAGCCAAGAGCAGAGACTAGGATGGAGGACTGGCTTCCAGGAGAGCCCTCTGGACTGATGCTTCCACCATTGGCTTCCACAAAGGACCAGCATTAAAAAGGAAGTCATTTCTCACAAACGCTTTAAGTTGTCTTCTGCTGGTAGACCCACCTCTATGAGCAGGCGTTCGATCCCATGAAACGTGTGGAGAAGAGCCTGTTTGCTTGTTGGTTGAAATCTCTTTCATCCTCCCGACTCGGGGGGCAGGTTCTTGGATTTCAAGGCCCTTCCACCAGGCCATGAGCATCCTGGGCTGTCGTTTCTAGCGAAGGAGAACCCAGAATAAATTTGACTGACTGTAGGCCCTAATCTTGAACAGAAAGAGGAAAAGTCCCCCGCCCCACCCCCCTTAAAATTGTCACATCCTCTCTGCAGTTTTTGGCAGACCTTTCAGGAAATATTAAATTAGACTGAAAATTCAGACATCCTAGTAACTTTCTGGGCTACTTTAAAACACCCAGCATATAAATACAGTCTAAAACTATTGAAGCCTTGATTCTACTAATTTTAGCAAATATAGTGGCTGCCTAGAATCAGAATTGGGAACGATAATCAACTGAGAAAAAAAGGATGAATCTTTATGGGAGCTAAAATTTCTTCTGTGATAGATTTTAATAGCTGCCAAGCACCTCACCCCATGCTAATATCGACTTCAAAGAAGAGCCACAACATTAAAATGTGTTATTACTTCCTCTTTGGCGTCCTACACGGAATGCAGGACTCCACTCCAGGACTGTTGGACCAAAAGTGTTTACCACTTAACACAGCGACTGCTGCGGCCTGGGCTTCAAACATGCATTTCCTCATGGGGTGCACAGTTAGCCTCCTTTCAGAGGACAGATTTGGAACAAAAAAAAAGAAAGTGGGGAAGGCAACTTCATCTTTAGCTGTGTGTAACCAAAATGGGAATTTGAGGGGGTCTTGTATTTTACACAACATGTCGCCCATTGCATTTTTGGTCCTCAGTTACCTTCATGCAAATAGAGTAAGACGTCAGAACTACAGACATTTTACAAGCAAGGAGAAACTTCTCGTACCTAAATTCATGCCTATGCAAACTGTACCCTTCTCCTTAATCTTGCCATTGATTGGACTCTTTGCAAGCCACTAAACTGTGACAACATGTGTACTTGACTGAAATAACATGTAAGCGTTTCATAAATGAGTCCCCAAATATTCGTGAACTATTTTCAGACACAGTATTTATGAAACTATTAAAAGCTCATTACTTTCGCCATCTCCTTCATGAGTTGAAAAGTAAGCACAGGTTATTTATATCTTTGCCCTAGAGACACTAGTCATTTTGGTCTGGAAGACATTTGCATTTAAGATACATCATGCAACTGGCATCAGTTTATTTTTTTAACATTATGTTTACACACTCATCTATTGGTAGCAATTCTAGTTGGTTCTTTTAAAGGGCCACGTAGAGGAAACAGATCAGATCTTTATTTGATTAATATCATTGATGAATCTTATGCTTTGAAGCGAGAGGGAAGCAGTCTCTGGAGAAATCTGAGTGGACATTTACTGTTTCTCCATTAAACTGGACCAGAAGAAAAACAGGACTCCAGGAAAAAATTGTCCAGAGTTCTTCCCCTTCTGTAAAAAGAGTCTCAGGCTTCCTTCCTGTTCCATGAGGAATAGACGGAGAACACGTTAGAAGTGACAGAAGCATGTCAGAGAGAAAGACATCCTTGTGCATCAGGAGACCCCTGAGTGTGAGAACATCAACGTTTAGTAACAAGTGTTGTAGACACTTTGTTTTCTACGAGTTAACTTCAAATAAAGCACCCTTCAGTGTGTGCGTGTCGGGGGGTTGGGGGGTGTGTTCTGAGCACGGCTGGTCCGGCTCGTTCTTTAGACGGATTGAATGACCCTGCTTTCCTTCTCCATAGGTTTACTGTTCTTTTTCATAAGCTCTGGCCTGAGGAGAGGTTTGGGCAGACCCCAAGGATGTGCAGGGCTCACACACCGATGGGAGCAGAGCCATCCTGAAAACAGCCCAGGGCGAGGCGGAAGGTGTCCGGCAGAATTGGTCAGAGCCCCAGTCTTGGAAGCCTGAGTCCGTCCGTGTTCTGGGTGTCCTAGTCGTTTTTCTTGATTCCTGACCCTCAGAACCCAGCTCCGGCCTGTCCTGCATCATTGACTGAACCCATCGCTTTGGACTTCTTTGTTTACTTGTCCATCTTATTGTTTTGATTGCTAAGTAGGTCAAAACTGGCAATAACAGAGCGAATCCTAAATGCCAAAACTTAATTATACAAATGACCGTAGATCTCTTTTTTCCCCTGCCTGTCACATTCAATTCATCACCATGTCCTCTCGATTCCACTTCCTAAGTGCCTGTGGAATCTGTGCTCAGGGCTCCAAGCCCACCATCACCTCACCTGAGGACCTAATGACCCCTCACCTGGATAACTGCAATGGGGTCCTCTCTGGCTGTGCTCCCCTCCCCAGAAAGCAGGGCAATGCTCTAAAACAAACCTGCAATCACAGCTGTCCCCGTGGACAGGGTACAGAAGGAGCCCTTCCTTGGTTCCCCCTGGCATTGGCAAGGAAGTTAAAGCAGTTTGCTATGCACAAAAGGCCTCTCCCGGCTCAGCCTCTTTCCGGTCTCCCAGGCCCTCCCAGCCATGTCACCCACCTGCTGCACGCCCAGCCCCCCTGCCACACCCACGCCAAGCCCTTCATGCCCCATGCCTCTGCTCACCCGGCTGTGAATTCACCGTTCTCCGTCAGATGCTTACTGTTTTGTTGTTGGGAACTTTGTCCCTTCCCTCAGTCAGCTCACCTCCTCAGGGAAGCCTCTCAGGCCACATCCATCATGCAACTACCAGAGCGGGTACCGCACTGTGGAATCTCTGAGAAGTGGCAAAACCAGGGGTCTGTGCTAGCTGATATAACGGTCAGAAATTCTGAGGAAGACAAACACGCCACCATCAAAATCTAATCTGCAAAAGATGCTATTATTATTTAAAGCAAGTAAAAGAATAAAAATAAGGATTTCAAAGAATAGGAACTTTTGAATTCTACCCTCCAGGATACTTTTTCTGCTCAAACTGTAAGATCTTTCTAGCTATTTCTCTCTTCTGAAGGCACCTCTCTAGGCCCTTCATAACTACAAGATCGCAATATGTAAGAATGTTTTTATCTCGTCCTCAGTCAACTTGGGGTTATGCATACAGCTAGGCCACCACCACAGCTTTTATGTGGCAGACGGACAGACCTTCTCCCCCAGACATACAAGCAACTGATATCCCCACAATCAATCAGATTAAAAGGCACAAGAAGGAAAAAAAAAGACGTGCACAGTTAGGAGGCATTTTGAGGAAACGTCTACTTGACAAGCGTAGGGGAGTCAGAGAGATACTCCAGCATTGGCGTGTCTTACCCTCTGAAGGTTTGGTTTCAGTTCCTCCTCTGCCTTCATCCCTGGCTCTCAGTTTAGACTGAAACAATGAAGAGATGGAAAGATCAAACAAACAGATCTTTGTGGAACAACAAAGAGGTACAGTGGGGCTCTGGAGTGGGAGGAGGGGCGGAGACCGCCTCTGGCTTGCATTCCAGGCTCAGGGGCCGCACAGAGAAGAGGTGTGGCCGCTCACAGGTGTTGGAGCAGGGCAGCCTCCCGCTCCCCGTCATCTCCTAATTTCAGCCCATGGTGATGGGCTGCTCTTTAAGTACAAGGGTTCAATTTAGAGAACCTTCCACTGATACTGCAGTGACCCTGGAGCCAGATTGCCCAGCATGAATCCTGGCACCTCCACCTCCCACCTACCAGCTAAGTGATCCTGGGCAAGTTTCTTAACCTCTCTGGGCCTCAGTCTCCTTGTCTTTAAAATGGACATGATATCACACTGCCCTCCCAGGCCCACTCTGAGGATCATACAAGTCAAGATAAATATAAAGCATTCAGAAGATTGTCTCCATAACTGTCAGCTATTATTATGTTAAGCACGTAACAATTATTTTGTGCCTAGGTTTTTCAATCTGTAAACCTGAATTTGTTTTTACCAACCAGTCATTAGAAAAATTAGGAGGATATTATGAAAAAGCTTAGAAAATATGAGTTAGCACGTGACTTGGGAGGCACATTTAGAAAGACTTCGTACAAGACGCGCTTAACAAACAAGAAAGAAATAACCCCGTCCACATTTAATCTTACTCCTTTCAAACACACCCCCTGGAGATATCATTAATTCTGGCTGCTCTTCGTATCAGCAGGCAAAGAGAACAATCATCTGCTTTGAGGAGATAAAAATGGAGTTCCCTCACCAGCCCTCTAAGTTCCTGTGAAAACCCAGTCCAGTCGAGAGGCTGAATTCATGTTCTTTGGGACATGCTGCCTGAAAATTTAGAAGTTAATAATTAGCTAGAATTTGTGAAGTCCATACCATGTGCCAGATAATGCGTTAGATACATTACATGCCTCCTGACGAGAACCTTATGAGTAGAACTATTTTTATCCCATTTTACAGACGAGAACACGGAGGTGCAGAAAGGTTGAGTCAGTGGTCAGATCTGCCTGGCTCCAGACCCTGTTGGCCCAACCATCATATGATGCTGCCTCTTTTAATCCTAAGTATACTGGATGATGTAATTTTTCACTGTATGAGTGCAACATTTGATATTGCCACTTTTGAACTATTTTTCAGTCTTCAAATCCGTATTCTGAGGAATGTTTACCAATTTATTGAATGTCGTTTCCTGGGAAGGCCTGTCATTCTGAGATGACATCTTTGCTACTTTTGTGGATTAAATGCCCTTCTGAAAAAATGAAATGATGGTCTCAGGCTGTGCTACAGTCTGAATGTTTCCCCACAAAATTTATAAGTTGAAATCCTACCCCCCAAGGTGATGGCATTAGGAGGTGGGGCTTTTGGGAACTGAGGCCTTTGGGAGGTGTTTAGGTCCTGAGGGTGGAGCCTTCTTGAGTGGGTTTAGAGTCTTTATAAAAGAAGCCTCACCTTCTAATATGGGCAAATTAGGGGTTAGGTTTCAATATACAAATTTCGAGAGGAAGCAAACATTCAGTTCACAGCATGGTGTTGGTAGATGGTAAATTTCCCTTGTTTTTAAAGAACAAAACAAATTCAAAAAACAACTTTTTGTGGATCTTGCCAATTACTGCTTTTAATTGATGGACCATGATATTCAGACTAAGAACATGGCAGTATACTTTGCAGAATCTTCACGAGTTATTTCAACCGAAGACCTCATCTCTCTACCATTGCTCTATTTTCTGGAATGACAAGAAATTGCTCAGCCATCTTGTTAAAATGTATGCTCATAATTTGATTTGAATAAACCAAATGAAAAAAAAATTTTTTTTTACTGTAAGTTTCATTTACTCTCTCTCTCTCTTTTTTTTCTGTAAGTGAGGAAGATTGGTCCTGAGCTAACATCTGTCGCCAATCATCCTCCTTTTGTTTTCTCCCCAAAGCCCCAGTGCCTAGTGGTGTATCCTAGTTGTGGGTCATCCTAGTTCTTCCATGTGGGGTGCCACCACAGCATGGCTTGATGAGTGGTATATATGTCCATGCCCAGGATTCAAACTGGTGAACCCTGGGCTGCCGAAGTAGAGCGCACAAACTTAACCACTCAACCACAGGGCTGGGCCCCAAAAAACATTCTTAAGGCTATTAGAGAAATCAATTATGCACTGACTCATATGATACCAAGGAATTATTGTTACTTTATAAGATATGATAATGGTATTGTTATTTTTTAAAGTCCATCTTTTTTAGGGACAGATCCTGACATATGTAGGTGTAAAATAACTTCGAAATACTTCAGCAAATTGCAAAAGGAAAAGGAAAAAGAGAAAGAGGAAGCAAATATGTCAGTCCTGATAATTTTTTAATCTGAGTGATAAAGAGATGGGTACACTATATTTGTAATTATTTGAAAATTTTTCATAATAAACATATATATCATCATACATAGTATTCAAATCCTGTCATCAAATGCTGATACTTTTTTCCCTTTTTTTTTTTTTTTTTTTGAGGAGGATTAGCCCTGAGCTAACATCTGCTGCCAATCCTCCTCTTTTTGCTGAGGAAGACTGGCCCTGAGCTAATATCCATGCCCATCTTCCTCTACTCTATATGTGGGACACATGCCACGTCTTGGCTTGTCAAGCGATGCCATGTCCACACCCGGGATCCGAACCGGTGAACTTTTGTGTAGCCAAAAAAAAAAATAGGTCTCTTTATTATATAAATAATTATTAGTAATTTTCATAGGTATATTCACTTTTAATTGGTATACTATGTTAAGGGTCTTAATGAAATAATAAAGTGTATCTAACGTAGAGAAAAAAATCTTTGAAAGGTCTGACAGATCAAAGCTGCAAGGGACACTTTTAGAAGAACACTGATCCAGAAGGCACGTTCTTTCCCACCTTATTTCTCAGATCATCCGATTACTGATTATTGACTGTGAATGTGGCCCTAAGGAGGTACTCATTTTTGAAACTTTTACAAAAAAGCAAATGCGTTTCCTATGCTTTGCCACATGGATAGTTTAAAATTTTCAATTAAGAACTAACATTCATCATTTTCACTAGCACCCTCATGTGCCCAGACCCTTTTAAAGGGCATTGGAACAATTTCCTAAGTTAAATTGTGTCAAAAATAACATATCAAGCAGATGACAAAAGGAACCCTTGCTTTGAAGCTTGAAAAAAAATTGCCTTTCACTGTGAACAATCGTCTGACTTCAGGATCTGTTTCATGTTTCTTCAAACGTTTCACGTCAACCTTTCCCCAGAGCAAAATTTGAGATGAAATTGTGTAATTTATTATCGTCTTTTAACATATTATATTTTTTCTTCCCTTTGATACCTTTTTTTCTCTGAGGTCCTTGGAAACGTTGAGATCACAATGAATTGACTCTTCCTGTGGATACTGGGAAAGGGGACAGGGTTAGCAGACAGGGAGAAGGTGACAAGAACACAACAGAGGAGAACAAGAATGCAGAAGGAGAAAAGTGAAGTTTTGCTGGTTTGGAAGCTGTAGTCCAAAGGATTTGCCTGCTGGGCCTAAAAAGAGAAGGTCAACCCACAGGTAAATGTCGCTGGGGCTATGGTCCTTGCATGGAGCGTAACTTCACGAAATCAAACCAAGTCCAATAGTCTCTTTCATACAAGAGAAGGGAAGAGAAATCACAATAAATCTGGGTCCCTTAGGTGTCATGAACTGTGGTGGGTGGGGTCTTTACATGTTAATCTCATGTCATCCTCATGACAACCTCATAAAATAGATGCCCCTTTCCACTATACAGATCAGAGACTGAGTGACCTTTGTGGCACAGCTGAACTCCAGTCTGTTAATTCAAAAGCTCATGATTCTCCCACAGCAGAAATCATCTTGCTATAATATCAAAGTTCTTTTCTCTCTATGGCCTGCTTTTTACTCAATTATGGTCCCAAATCAATCAACGGCATATAAAGGAACCTGATGTAAGAAAATCCTGTGAATTTGTCTTTTAAGACATAAATTGAAGAAAATCAATGAGGAAATGCATCTAAATGGGACAGAGATAAAAATCGGTAAATTTGATGAGATGGTTTAAATGACCCAATTATCATCGGAATTCATGGTTTTTTATTTTTGTTTGGATCATGGGACCCTTTGAGATTCTGATGACAGCTATGAAGCTGCACATTCACATAAACTTTCAGAGGGCTTAAGGACCACCACTTAAATTTATTTGGGTTTATAAACCCTATCTGTATTATTCAGAGTGTAAAATGCATTTAAATATGAAAATGCTTATACATATAAATGAAGGACCTTTCAGGTACCTTTATGCATTCTGCGACATGGATTGCCTAAATCTTGCCCATTGGTGATTGCATGACTTTTGAATAGACCATTGGTGATTTGCATAATTTTTGACCCATCAATATCAAGGGTTCCTGGGGCCTTGCACCATAAATCTGTCCATGTAAAGGAAACCATATTAGAAGAGGACCACCTAAGAAGACTGTCAATGGCATGTAAAAACCATAAAAGTATCACACCCCCCAAAGTTCTGGGGGAGTATACCCAAGGGTGAATGCAAATTCAGTTCTTAATTTCATTTTCACCTGTTAGACAAAATGACATCCTAATTATTTCATGTAAATTGGTGCATGACAGGGCAGGCCTGGCCCAAAGGGCCAAAGCTTGACAGCCCCTGGGCATTGAACGCACTAGCGGGTATCCTCCCAGAGGAGAAGGAAGTTGTAAGAGGAACAGGAACTTTACCACCCACCACCTCCTCTCTTCCCTGAAAAGTGAGAAGCAGCACAGGAGCAAAGAGAGGCAGCAGACTGAGACAGCAAGGCAGCCACCACAAGAATTAAAAAAAGCGGATGGTGGCGAATAAGGCGCGTGTGAACCAGCTCAACAGGCACTCTACACATGCTTAAGTTCGAAAACCTTTGCAAAAAATTTGTTTGAAA